AAGTCAATTCTATGGTTGATTTTGTTATCGTTGGATTTGATCCAACTGTAAAAAAAATCAAATGTCAAATGACAAATATAACGAGCAAACTATGGATTTGCGGTTCAACTCTTTTAACCAGTTTTACAACTTATTTTTCGGTTTTAATAAATATCAATTAAGATTATTACTATGACATTAATTTATATATAAAATCAATTTAATAATAATATTCAAAATAGTTAAAAATCAACAAGAACATAGTATAGTAACATTAAGCTTAGAAGTTTAGATTTAGTCTATGTTTGGTAATCAATAAACTAGCTTACAGTTTACCAAATATTTGATAGGACGAGCTTTTTTAAAAAACTCGAGCTTATCCCATAAGCTTCATTAGATAATTTTTCAAATAAGATCGTTGAAATTTTTATTTCAGCTAGTTTATTAACTAATTTTACCAAACATTTTTATCATATAAGTTAGTTTGTCAGCTATAAGCTATAAGCTCGAAAATCACAACTATAAACTTATAATTATTTATAACTTACCAGCTATCAGGCAACTTATTAACTAGTTTTACCAATCATATTCTTATATAAAACTATTGATATAAATATAAAATGGTAACCAGATAAAAATAAAAAAAAATCCAACCTTTATCAATTTCTTGTCATTCTTTTTAAACCGGAATTTGCGATACAAAATCATCATGAGCCAATATTTTGATAAAAAATATTGTTAAAAGCAGTGTACTAAAAACTGGTCTAGGCGACCGCCTCCATTTTGCATGAATCGACTGAAAAATTCAGTCAGACGGCTAGGCGAGCTCGGCGGCGAGGTAAAATATGCTGCGCCTAGGCACGCTCGACGGCAAATTTTTAATTTTTTTTATTTTTTCTAAATACTAATTACATTATTTTATTATCATATTTATTTATAATATATTAATATTATCATTTTGACTTATGTGTGTGACTTTATTCATGTTGAGATTTGAAATAAATCCTGCGTTTGTGCTGGCATTGGTTCATATGGTAGTTGCATGTTGCTTGCAGATTATAGAAAATATTGACTTAAGGTTCCTACATAGGAGATCATGGAGAAAAATAAGTTTCAAATCACAACTATGCCGCTTGCAGAATTTGACTAGTAATTAATTGTGATAGAGATTTGTAAACGAGTGTTTGATATATATCATTTTGTATAATTTTATTGAAATTTTTAAATGCCGCTCTATTGACAGGTCAAATAAACTATCTACCAAATGAGCTAGTTGATAAAATTTTACAGGTCAAATGGAAAATTGGTTCAATCTGCTAGTATCAAACGATTCTTGAATCTCACTAGCTTTGACGAAAATGTCTTTGGGCCCTTTCAAACTGGATATATAATAAATAGATTTAAACAAGTAACAACCTCAAAACATGGGCCTGGTGCTTTATCTCCAATTCTACGGCCCGTTACAATTAATTAACGAATTAATTAGGCAAGGCTCGGGCCGAAACAATATGAATTCAATGACCGCATTTAAAATCTTTGACACATCATGCAAAAATCGATATTATTAAACCCAAAGTTGTCCAAATTCAGTTTGTTGGGAGTCTAACGGTCAAATTATACATATAAAAAAACATAAAATTAATATTTTTAAATCTTTTAACAATATTAGTAACAATTAAAGATCTAAATGAGAAGACTCGAGTTCGCTGTTATAATCAAGCGAGCCGATAAATATGTTCAAGCTCAATTCATATATTAATATTAACGAATCGAACTCGAAGTTTAACGAGTGAATTGCATAAAACTATATATAAATTATGTTTTGAAAACTTAATGTTGCAGATGTTCATTAACTAAACAAAATGTAAATAAAATAAACAAGTCGAACTGAATTTAAACATAAACGAATCAATCTAACAAACATCCCATCCCATTTCATTTATCCTTTCATTTATACAAAAGTCGACATTATTTAAACCCAATGTGTGGTGCAGTTCGAAACCTAAAAAGAAAGAAAAAAAAAGCCCAACGAACCAAAAACACGTGGACTTACGCTCACATCAATTCTCACCAACACAGTGTAAATACCCCAAAAAAATTGTACAGATTAAAAAAAAAATCATCCCCTACTCACGGTGCACGTGAACCAACCCTACGGCCTCACCCCTAACCTCCGCCGCGCCTGGTCGCACCTCACCGGCGCCACCCCAATCCTCTCCCTCTGCAGATCGAATTCCATCCACACATTCTGCTGGTGGTGATGCCCAATCACGTACGCCTCCATCCCCACCAGATCTGAGTTCCCAAACGTGAAGCACTGAATCGAATCGGCCCCCCGAACCTCCCCCGGAACCCTGTACAGCAGCTGCCCGCCGGCAACCTCTATCTCCGCTCCCCGGAAAATCAAGCTCACCGGCGGCAGATCC